GATTATATTATACAACAAAAAGAAGTCGAGGGGTAATATTGTCTTTTTCCGAACTGAAATAGGTGATATGCGATGCGTACACACCGGCTGGGGAGCCAATACCCACCAACAAGAGATTCAATGCTGCCAAGATATTCAGTCACCCCGACGTTGTCGCCGAGGAGCCTTGGTACTACCATCTCCTACTTTAATTTTAATATTATAGCGTATTAATTAATTAACTAATTAATTGTTATATAATGCAAAATTGGTATCGAGGTTTGTTTTCTACAATCATCCACCCTGACCCTACGGAATTAAATTGCCCATGTATAGGAATTAAAATTTCTTTTTTTGGGTCTTATATTCTGCGTGACAATGACGTGGTGTATCCTTAGAGCATCTCCAACCGATATGTCAAAAGTGCCACGTAGACATTTAACGGCTAGAAATAGCATCTCACATCCCTCCAACCGAATTGTCAAAGGTGATGTGGAATGAAGGTTGGAGGTTCAGCTATTATTTTTGACATACCAAAAGCAAGATGTCAAATGAATATTTTATTATTTTTAAAGACACCTGGCTGTTACTTTCATTTTTTTTTTCATTTTTTTTTTCTTCTTTATCTTGAATGATTTGATTGTTACAATAATTATTTATTTGACATATCGGGTTGAGTGTAAAACTGTGTAAATATAAAATTGCCACATCAACCATCAAATTTAAATTTGATGTTTGGTATTTGACATCTCCCTTGAAGATGCTCTTAATGTTATTCTAATTTAGCAACTACTGGTGGGAATGACAAATATGCCATTCCTAGGGGTTAGGTGATCGTGGGGGTGTGCCAATTTCTAGGGGTGCAAGATGGATACAAAACAAGTGTGACTATTATGGTTCGTGCCTATTAAGTTATGGAAAATACTTAAGGAGGAGTTCCTATATTTCTGTTAATAACAGTATGGCATGTGAAAATACTTAAGGAGGAGTTCCTATATTTCTGTTAATAACAGTATGGCATGTGTGCATAAGTTTTTCTTTTTTTGTTTTTGATGAATTATTTTTGCTTATGTGTCAAACTGAAAAAGGGATATCTCCTCATAGGTAAGGAGGCTTAAGTTATTGCTGGGTTTGATGGTTTTAAATTATTAAGTGTGGGTAGGTGGGTTGGGTGGTAATCATGTGCAATTTTTTTTTACAGAATAGATTGGCCGAGGATTAGGTAAGGTCAAAACAAATACCTTAAATTAATAATAAAGGATGGATTATAATAGTCTTAAAGATAAAGATAATGCGATGGGCTCCATCATTTTGACTTGTTCTTGCCAGCACTTTTGTCACTATTGGCTGACTTTAACAAGGCGTTACCCTTTATTAAAGTGAATTAATTATTATGACTGTCTCACACCCATTGTATTGTAATCATCATATTAGAAAATGTATGTCAGGACGGGACCAGCTTAATTTTTTGGATTAGTTTTGTAAATCCTAAATCATCACTTGGGTTGGATCGACCCATCCAATCCAAGCTGTAGTTGTTGAAAAGCATGAGCTGGACCAAGAAAGTGCCGAAACACAAAGGCCCAATATAACAAAAGCAACCTTTTTTTGGTTGTGGGTAGTAAAGATAGTAACATGGTATATGCAGCAAAACCTTTACTGTGAAGTTTTGTGATTGTTTAGGTATGGCATTGAGCAAGAGTACACTCTTCTTCAGAAGGATACTAAATGGCCTCTTGGATGGCCAGTCGGTGGATTCCCAGGTCCACAGGTACTTAATTTGCTCTCAATCTGATTGCCATCAACAGCTTCTTACAAATTTTATGCCTTAATATATTATTATTATGCTTGAAAAGAAGTTTCCTAAACATGGCAGCAACTTTGTTTCTTGTATCCATGCAGGGACCCTACTATTGTGGTGCTGGGGCTGACAAGGCCTTCGGTCGTGATATTGTGGATTCACACTACAAGGCCTGCCTCTTTGCCGGAATCAACGTCAGTGGAATCAATGCTGAAGTTATGCCAGGCCAGGTATATCTATATACTCAATGCTTTAACCTTTGGTTGCTAAGAAAATGGTTTGGTTATTGCGAATTTCGGCATAAAATGTGGTGTTGTAACTTCTTTCTAATATGTCCTGGTTTGCTGTTGCCCAACAGTGGGAGTTTCAAGTTGGCCCTACAGTTGGTGTTGCTGCTGGAGATCAACTATGGGCTGCTAGATACATTCTTGAGGTAAACAAACCACATATACATATTACACATATGTCTGCTCTGCTCTATTGTATATGATATGGAAGGGCTTTGCGTTAATAATTTGTTGATCTGCTTGACAAAACAGAGAATCACAGAAATTGCAGGAGTTATTCTTTCTTTGGACCCAAAACCAATCCAGGGTGACTGGAACGGTGCTGGCGCTCACACTAACTACAGGTAGGGTTCCTTCAATCTTCAATTCAAATTGGATTGGAATGTAATTTTACATCACATTACATGTGATGATGAGCCCTCTGAGTAAAAAGCATGTCAAATGTGTGAATAATTGTCATTAACTATTGTTATTCCTTTCAGTACCAAGTCAATGAGAAATGATGGTGGAATTGATGCGATCAAGAAGGCGATTGAGAAACTGAGTTTGTGCCACAAGGAGCACATTGCTGCATATGGAAAAGGCAATGAGAGGAGATTGACTGGTCGCCATGAGACTGCTGACATCCACACTTTCTCTTGGGTAGGCTAAATATATAGTTATAAAGCATTCATGTCACATTGCTAAGATCAACCTTTCTTCTTGTGTTTTTGTTGAAATCATGTTTTACTTTTAATCTTTTTAAATTCAGCACTCAAGTTTGCATTGTGAAATCACAGGGCGTGGCAAACAGGGGAGCCTCCGTCCGTGTTGGTCGTGATACCGAAAAAGCTGGGAAAGGTATGTCTGACTGAGTGTCTTCGCCACCTACTGTCAACCTGGACATATTTGTTTAATCTGTGGTTTCACAAATGTCAGGATATTTTGAGGACCGAAGGCCGGCGTCCAACATGGATCCATACGTAGTGACTTCCATGATCGCTGAAACCACCATTCTCTCCAAGTCTTAGAGATTAAATGGAGTTGGCAGTTGGGATAGGAAAGCTCTATCCATTGCAAATAACTCTTTATGAGTCTCTCTTTCTCTGCTTCATTTGCCTGCTTTCGGTTGATTGGTTGCTGTTCTAACGATTGTGTAATCGTTGATTTGTCCAGTTTCTAGTTTGATGTTGTCTAAAAATCTGTAATAAAAAGGTATTAGCTATAGCCTCTTTTTTTCTTTTTTGTTTAAAACAAATTTAAACTCAAAAGTATTATGAATGAAATGATGGTGTTTATAAATTAAATTTTGTGGCTTTTGATGAGAATGGCATTGAATCTATGTCATTTTATTTTTAGGGTATTTTTATTTGAAGTTATTAAGAGATAGAGAGAAAAGTAAAGAAAAGGTGATGAGATATTTTCTCACATTTTGTTTATAGTCATCCATTCTTTTCTTAGAACATCCACAATGGGCACCCTAAGAGCATCCGCAATGGGCTTCCTAAACCACCTCCTTAGACAAATTTTAGGGAGGAATTGTAAAAATGCAACTCCAACCATGCTCCCTATCCACCTCCTAAAATAGGGAGTCCTCTAGAAGCTCCTAAATCTGAGGAGAGAGTAAGTACTCCTAGTGGCTCCCTAACTATTTTTTATTTTATTTTTTACTAGAGATGGACCAATCAAAAAAGAGTTATAACATTTATGACTCTCCAAATTATGGAGTATGGTTGGAGTTGAAATTTTTTAGAGAGCTCCTAAAATAGCTTTCTTATATTTTTAGCTAAATTTTAGCTAAGAAATAGAGAGCATAGACAAATTTTAGAGAGGAATTGGAAATATACAACTTCAACCATGCTCTCTATCCACCTCCTAAAATAAGGTGACCTCTAAGAGCTTCCACAATGGGCTCCGTAAACCACCTCCTTAGACAAATTTTAGGGAGGAATTTAAAAATACAACTCCAACCATGCTCCCTACCCACCTCCTAAAATAGGGAGACCTCTAGGAGCTCCTAAATCTAAGGAAAGAGAAAAGACTCTTAGTGGCTTTCTATAATTTAATGCTGCTTTATTTAATAAGTATTTCAAACCTTTATTTAATGCTAACTATTTTTTATTTTATTTTTTAATAGAGATTGACCAATCAAAAAAGAGTTATAGCATTTATGACTCCCTAAATTAGAGAGCATGACTGAAGTTAAAATTGTATAAAGAGCTCCTAAAATAACTTTTATATGTTTTTAGCTAAAATTTAACTAAAAAATAGAGAGCATGATTGTGGATGCTCTAAGAGCTCCTAAATCTGAGGAGAGAGAAAAGACTCATAGTGGCTCCTTATAATTTAATGCTGTTTTATTTTATGCATAGTTTAAACTTTTAATTAATACTAATTACTATTTTTAGAGACATACCATATTGAATTAAGAAATAACTATAGAATTTATGACTCCCTAAACTAGGGAGTATGATTGGAATTCAAATTTTATAGAGACCTCCTAAAAGAACTTTTGTGTATTTTTAACTAAATTTTAACCAAAAAATAGAGAGCATGACTGTAGATGCTCTTGTAGTTCTAAAAAACCCAATAGCAAAAATCTTATTACACAATGTAACCGAATTGATCAGTCTCATTCAGCCAGCAAAAATTTTCATGATCCTTGTAGGAGTGTAGCAGAAATGCAGCCCGCTGTTTTTTTACTCAAAATTTATGCCACGTGGCATCTTCGTAGTGGTCAGGCAACAAGTGACCGCTGCCCCCTCTTGTTTATAAAAAAATGCTGCCCTACGGGCTCCACCACCACGATCCAAGTCTTGAGCTTGGGCTAAAACACGTTAGAAACCAAACCTTGGGCCACGAAGTGGATCAATAACTCCAACCCATATAAAACCCGGGCCTAATCATACCCAAACTAAACCAAACCTAGATTTTCTCAAAAAAGAAAAACCAAACCTAGAGATGGATGGATGGATGGAATGGAACAAGAACATGGCGCACCAAAATTGAAGAGTTAAAACTCATCGAACTCGCGGGCAGTGGCACGCACTCTCTCGCTTTGCTGTTTCGGAGCCCAGAGAAGTGAGAAGGAAGGACCTAGATCTTATCTCACCCTTTCTTTCTCCTTTTCCACTAAAACGGTCGTCTAGGACTATCTTTCGCTTCCCCATTTACCGCCTCTGTCTCTGTCTCTCTTTTCCCTCTCTCTTTTTCATGGCCACGGACCAATCTAGGGTTTGAAGAAACCAGCAAAATAAGGTACCTCTCTAGCTCTCACGAACACACTTTTTATCTCAAATGGATTTGAATGTGTCGAACGTTTTACGTAATTATGTTTTTCTCATCCTGTTCTTTTTGTTACGTATTGACGAATAATGTTTCCTCACTTCTTTTTGGTTGCTAAGAAAGGGGAGGAACATAATGCGGGGATTCCCAACTTTGGAACTTTGGGTTTCTTTTAGTTACTTATCATGAAAGCATACGTAGATGCTTGCTTTTTGTTTTTTCTTCAATGCTTACAACGGTCTAAGCCTAACAAATTTCTGTTGTGAAATGCATGCAAATTTTGTATAGCGTATAGTCTTAGTGAAAAATGCAAATGACGTATGGAACGCTGCAGGAGGCATGTTTACCGGAAAACCATTGATCAGAAAGAATATTTATTAGGTGATCCATCAAGGAACGAATACATATCCGTTGGAAAATTTTCTAAATCATTTATAATGTTGAAATTCTGTCTGAGGCATGATTTAAATGAATGTCTGAATATAATATTTCTTCCTGTCCATAAAAGCTTTTTGGTGTTTTGTGTTGAAAGTATTGAACCATGAAAACAAATCTAGAGAGAATATTTAAAACTATGCAACAATGTTTGGGTATCCTATTGTATTAAAGAAAATGGCTTATAAACCGGGAACTAAAAGCAGAAAGTATATGCAATGCACTTGGTCCTTATGCTACACACACTAATCTAGAACTCAACTGTGTACTGATCGGAGCATACTTTGCAGCACAGGAAGATTTGGAAATAAGAAGTGATGATGAATGCAAGGAGAATAAAGTGTAGAAATCAGAGATGGGTGCTTCAACTGTCCAAATATTCGATAAGGCCAAACTACATTGATCAAGGTTCTTCTCAATCTTTGGTTCATAAAACAGTTTCGGGAAACCATGGTTCGCATGGTAGTTTTATTAGAAGCCGTCTCATAGATTCATTTTCGCTGCGGAGTGTTGTTCCTGGTTATAGTTGCACTGGTTTGCTTGTGAGGTCTAATACATGTTTCAAGGGTAGTCAGTTACGTGCCTACAGTTCTGAAGGGGATGGAAGAAATGCAAGCGAGAATAATCGAGTACCAGTGAAAAGTGACACTGATGTCGATAAAGGAAAGACTTCACAAGAAAAGGCTAGGGAAGATGCAAGGCATTTCGATGCACATGCTCTACTTGGGGAACAAGATCAAAAGGAATGGCTTAACAGTCAAAAGCTTACCAATGAGAGTAAAAAGAAAGAGTCACCGTTTTTGACTAGACGAGAGAAGTTCAAAAATGAGTTTTCGAGGAGGATTGTTCCGTGGGAGAAGATAACTGTCTCATGGGATACATTTCCTTACTACATTCAGTAATTGCTTCTCATTAGTGTTTGGTATTGTTCCTTTCTTATCTATTGCTCATTACTTATCAGAAGATTTAAACATATTATTTTTTATTATAGTGAACCTACGAAAAACCTTTTGGTGGAATGTGCTGCTGCCCATTTGAAACATAAAAATTTCACTTCCACTTATGGTTCTCGTTTGACATCTTCAAGCGGGAGAATACTGCTTCAGAGTGCTCCAGGTTGGTCACAAATCCCACAAATCTAATTATTACCATGTGCGTTTCAATTTTTCCCAAGTGACTAATAATTTGTAGTTAAATTTGTTTCATAGAAAATAATCAACTTACCATTTGTCTTGAGTATCTGCATGATATTGTCATCTGCAGGCACTGAACTTTACCGTGAGAGATTAGTTAGAGCGCTTGCACAAGATCTCCAAGTTCCCCTACTGGTGCTTGACAGCAGTGTTCTTGCTCCCTATGTAAGTTTTAAAGAAATTGAATATGTATTATAGTCAAACCCAGCCCCCCCTCCCAGTACTCACAGAGTAAGATTTTGTACGAGTTAGTTTCTGTTAAATTTTGGAGCAGGATTTTGGTGATGATTGCCAATCAGAGTCTGAATCGGATGATGATGTGGAGGAGAGTACTTCAGATTCAGAGATTGAGGATGATGTGAATCATGAAGAAGATTGGACTAGTAGTAACGAGGCAAAATCAGATTGTAGTGATAAAGATGAAGATGATGCGCATCCAAGAGCTGAAGCAGCACTCAAGAAGCTTGTTCCTATTGAAGACTTTGCAAAGGTATGGTTTTTGAAGCATGAGGATTTTTGTATTCTTAGTCGTTCTACCCTAATCATATTACGGTGATTCATAAAGTCAAGTAGTGGCCTTATTGACGTCAATAGGAAATAAACAACATTTGTTGTACATCTTTAATATGAAATAGCCGAATGACATGATATTATATGGATATATCATTGACATAGCAACTGGAGTTCATTAAGAGGAATACCCAATGAGTTCACAGCGGGTATGCAGGGTGTTGGAATATCAAATCTGGCTCATCTTTGTTATACTTTAGTTTTTTTTTTTCAACAGAAAAATGAATATTTGATAAGTAAGCTGCAATTATTTGGAAAGGATTTCTTGTTATTTATATTGAGATTGATGATTTTAAAAGTTAAGTACAACTTCTGGAATATGAGGCATGTTTTAGAAGAAAAAAAGGAAAAATGCTCTTAACGATTTACATATGCTAGCCATGGTGCACTTACATATACTTTTCATAACCCATGATGTATGATCTGTGGTTCATATGTGGCAGATGGTATCTGGAGAATCTGAGAGTTCATCTGAATCCTCAAAATCAGAAGCTGCTGAGACTTCTGATAAATCCAAACGACCACTAAAGAAAGGTTCCATATTTGGATTCCTACCTTTTGTCTATATTGCAAATTTTATATGTTTTTGATATGTGTTTTCCTCAATTGATAAGATTTTATGTTTCTTGTTCTCTTATCATGTGTGCTCTAGTGATCTTCTGTATAATTATTTTTCTCTTATTCTGCTACTACATTTTGGTTGAGAAAGGTTATTCTTTGTGAATTAGTTATTTTGGTTATCAATTTTAAATGTCTTTGGGTCCCCACTGGGAAAATTGAAGTAACAACGCAACTCTGTGCATTTTTGGTGCTCATAACTTTCCAAATTACAAGTGAAACCAATTACAAAATCCTTTCTTCCGGATACTTTTCTATTTAGTCAGTTGTGCTTTACTTGTTTATTTTATTAATATATAGGTTCTGCTGTTTTCTCTTTTGGTGTGGGAACATGTTCATTTCTGCTCTTGTTCTCACTTCTATCCTTTAGAGGCATGGTCAAAGTAGGTGTAGTAACACTTTTGATGGCAGTAGTTTTCGAAGTTAATATGTTCGTGTGCGGGTAGTGTAGATTTTGTGTTGGCAGTGTGGTGGCCGTTGATTGCAGTAGTTTATCTTTCTACAGCATAATGGAAAATATTATGTTTTGTTGCCATTCTTTATTGGGAAACCTTTCTTATCAATAAGTTTATTGCTTCATTCTTTTCAGGTGATCGAGTGAAGTACATCGGGCCTTCTTTACATGTTGAAGCTGATAACAGGTCATGAATTATTTCTTTCATTTGTTTGCTTAATTTTGTGTTCATAGATTTTCAGAATATTCTTGGTTTGTTTTCTGCAGTATTTAATGCATTTGTTTTTGTTGCTCTAAAAAAAAAAAGAACATGATTTTCAAATATTTACAACGCATGAATCTAAAATGTAATTCTTTTTTATAAAAAATTGAAAGTGTATTTTGAAGCTCATGAATGTGATTTTCTTTCCAATCTTTTGGACAATGAAACTTATGGAATACAAAAAGAATTTTTTTTGAAAACGTGCTCAAGTAATATGTTGTACCTAGTTAAAATTGAAAATTGTACCTCCATTCTGACAAAGGAGGCTAGTGTAACTTCTCAAATTGGGGAAGAGGGGGCCATTTATGTGTGACTAAACCTTAAGATAGGGTGGTGTAGCTTATTGATGATATTTTTGGTGTAGCAGATATTATATACGACTTGATTAGGCACCAGGTTCATGAAACAACTTAGCACTCTATTTCTAGATGAGGCGCTTCCTGGGCTTCTGGCAGTGCATAATGCCTCTTAGGCATGGATATTTTGTGTGTAATTGAGATTGGTTCATTAGCTTAGAAGGATAAAACTGGGGTCCAGTCGTGAGCTTTAAAAGGATTCTTGTTCGTATAAGTCTTTGATGCTACTTTGTCAACTTTCTAAAAAAACTTCATGTTTTCAGTTCTGTTTCTCTGGGGCTTTTAATGAGCTTGCATATTTTTGAGTTAGGTTCCCAGCAGTTTGTAAATAATGCAGTACAGGGTCCTATTGGGATTTTTGGCCAGAATCTGTAGATAAGACAGTGTTGAACCACTGACTTCTTAGGTCTTGTATATTGAACACTTACACGCATGCTGCCCGGAATATGATATCTATGGTCTGTCTTTCAGAGCCCTTTAGGATGATCTCATCCCCACATGAACTCTGACTTCGCCCTCACCTTACGTTGACATATATAATGCAATACAGGGTCCTATTGGGGAAGATATCAACATCTGATGGTCCAAGGAATGCTTATACCATTTTCCGTGGCAGGTGGGTTGGTAAGTCGCCAATGTGTAGGGGAAGGAATACAGTAGCACATTATTAGATGTCCTGCTTTTGCTTTTCTCATAATTCTTTTGTTTTTTTGGTGTACCATTATCCTTCTTAGGACCTTAGTTCAACCCTTTTTCTTCCATACTCTAAAGTCTATATCCATGATCCATTATCTCTCCATTCAGTAAACAGGCTTATTCATTTTAAATGCTTCAAAAAGATGTTAGTGGCTCTCAACCTTGATTTTAGGGCAACTATTTTGACTCCTTATAGAGGGTATGTGAGTGCATTGCTAGAAATAAGTTGCCAACTTGTGCATAAAGGGTATGTCAGCCTTTAAAGTGAATTGTAGTAGTGATCGCATTAGTTTGGGCTCTGTCCCAAATTGGAGGCACTCATCCAAGACCATGTATATCACGAGTACAGTTGGAGATGATTCATTGTAGGTTGAATTGAAGTCTATCTAGTGTTTTCAAAGAAAGAAAAATTGAGGTTTTATCAACTCTTTTTTTCATGCAGACTCTGTCATTACTGCATCATTTCTGTTATGCTATTAAAAAATTCTAAGTACACAGTGGTTTCAGTATTATTGTTCATTAATAAATGTGCAGTTGATTTCTTTGCATATCCATAATTCTGAAATCTTCTTACTCGTTCTGATGAATTTGACATTTGTGCAGGCCTTTACCAAAGGGTCAACGTGGGGAGGTATATGAGGTGAGTGGAGATCGAGTTGCTGTTCTTTTGGATGTTAAAGAGAAGACAGGAAGTGAAGTGGATAAAGAGGAGAAAGAAGGAGAGCAGCCTGCAAATCCACCAGTTTATTGGATACTTGGTACAATTTACTCCGGATCTTTTGAGTTTTCTTCATCTTCTGTTGACACATGTCCTAAATTTTTACAGACAAGTGAATGTTGCGAGCAGAAAACAGAGTAGTGGTTTCATAATTTGCCAACTGATAATAGCATGATGTCTACCAGTTTTATCTAATAATGCATATGGTCTATGACTATTTTTTTTTATTTATCATATCAATATATGACATCATTACCTTGTTGGCTAATGTAAATCAATTTAACACATGTGAGGGGCCTCATTGCTCAATGGTTATTATTTTAGGCTTGCATAATGTTAATACCCAAACTTGTGTTGTTGGTATTATCATCTTCTGTTTTGTGTTCTTGAACCATATTGTTTGCTCGTGAGTTTCATCAGTGATAACAAATACCGGTAATATTATAATCAGGATACCTCAGATAATGACATTGAGAGAAAAGGCTTAACTAGGTTTGGTTTTAGCATGATGTAGCATTTTAAGATGTTGATGGAAATTCTGGTAGTGATTCTTCCAATGACATACTGACAAGTTTCTCTTACATACAGCTAAGGACATTGAGCATGTTCCTGACACTCAGACTGAGGATTGTTATATTGCAATGGAGGCCTTAAGTGAGGTATGGTACACAATGCGAAAGATAAAAAATAACAAGGGAAACCCATGATTTTGTGTTCTCATGCGTGAAGTTTTTCATCTATAAACAGTATCTGAATTTTCATTGCTTGCAGGTATTGCATGCCAAGCAACCTCTTATTGTCTATTTTCCGGACTCTTCTCAATGGCTGTCTAGAGCAGTTCCCAAGTCGGATCGTAAGGATTTTGTCTCTAAGGTGCAAGAAATTTTTGACGGGTTATCAGGTCCTGTTGTTTTGATTTGTGGGCAGAACAAAATTGAATCCGGGTCAAAGGAGAAAGAGAAATTTGTAAGTGTTAAAGATTCTTTTCATGGGATACCGATACATCCGGTTTTGTCCTTACATGTTTATGATTTGTGGCTAACTTTCTCACAGCTATTTAAAATTTATGGCTAACACTTTTCCTTCTATTTTCCTCTACAAATATTGTGTAATAGACGATGATACTTCCAAATTTTGGGCGCCTTGCAAAGCTGGTAATCCTCTATTCTCTAGGAGTAAAATGAACTTTGACACATGCATTATTGTGAGTTTTCCATTGTTTAAACTTGACTGTTCTTTTGTCTCTAGTAGCACACACGAGCTTATAATGGCCCCAGGCAACATTTCTTGTTTGACAATAAATAAGGCACCAACTTTTTTTTATGGGTTTTTCTTCAAATTTTGCTCTTATGGCTAAAGCTGTATTGAACTTCTTGTTGTACAGCACCTGATAGAATGCAAGCTTTTACTTGCATGACTTAGAAGTCTCACATTCTTGTTTTGGCATGCGTTTCAAAACAGTTTCCAACTCAATACTAGATGGTCTTTCTAGTGCCATTGGTTATTCCAAGTTACCTACTCATTGAAATGTCAAAAAGGGATTTGTAAGAGCTGAAAAATGAACAAACAGACCAATTACCCTTTTAAGCAACAAGTATAGTTATTTCGTCAACATGAGTGTACTTATCTCGTAAATCTTGTAGCTGCTTGCATTACCAGTTCTTCTTTATGACATATAGATAGAAACCTGTATTTTAGACATTTGTGGTTATCTATAGCCGATCCTCCTCTTTCTTGTTCTCAAGACATGGTTCTTAAGCATTGATGAAATTTCCTTTTAGATATAGAGCAGTATTACCTCAAAAATGACAGTTTGCTGATCTAGTTCAATTTTGATGCTTTCATGATACTGGAATGAACCATCATTACTATTTTTCTTCTCCTTGGCTAATCAAAAACATTTTGCTGCTCTCGGGGTTCCTATATAGTTTTCATTGTTCAAGATTAACATCCTTGTTTCTTGGATTCTGGGCAATATTTATCCGAATATTGTGTTGTCATTTTTTCTCTAATTGAAAGATTACGTATTTTCTGTTTCCAGCCTCTCTCTCTTAAGCGTCTTACTGAGGGACTTAAAGCGACAAAGAGATCGGATGACAATGAAATATATAAGCTATTCACAAATGTTTTCTGCTTATATCCCCCAAAGGTAAATTTTGTACTTCCTCCTGTACATAATTTATGATTAAGGAGTTTTTTTTTTACCAGATCTTTCATGCATTAATTTTTGCTTTGTCTTAACATTTGTGATACTTAAGATGGGCTGAAAGTGATTGGATTGCCTCCTGTATTTCTAGATGGATATATCTGTGCTCAGGTGTAATATGAATATTCTAGTTTCTCTTGAGAAGTGTTAAACTTGGTGGGGACATTAGTTGGAGCTTTATGTGATAGCTGAAATTAAATTTTGTGTAGGTACATCATAGATATACATATGCGAGTACTTATTTCTTTTCCACGCATCTTCTCTTCCTTTCCTCTCCTTGTCTTCTTTTGCAGGAGGAAGAGGAACTTCAAACATTCAATAAACAGATTGAAGAAGATGGGAGAATTGTTATATCGAGGAGCAATTTAAATGAATTACACGAGGTATCTTTTTAGTTCTGAAATTGTTGCAAGTGGTCAGTGAAGTATTGTGCCATTTAACTTGTTCTTTTGATTCACGCTACTAGTCTGATTCTGGGGTTGTCTTGGGGGTGGGGTTCCTTGAACCTCTTTGACCTATTGGATTATTTTTGAATCGCAGGTTCTTGAGGAAAATGAGCTATCGTGCACGGACTTGTTGCTAGTAGATACTGATGGTGTCATCTTGACAAAGCGAAGTAAGAAACCCTGAGTTCCAATTTACCAATATCAATATTTTGATGTCAGAAATGTGTTATATATTGCAGAATTTTCAAACAAAAATTTTAATGACCATATCTTAATAGTTAATTATATTATGTTTATTTTCCCAGAAGCTGAGAAAGTAGTCGGATGGGCAAAAAACCATTATTTGTCATCTTGCCTTCTTCCTTCCATTAAAGGCGAAAGATTGCATCTGCCTCGCGAAAGGTGCATGTTTCATCTGTCATATATTGTGTGTTCAAGTTTAAAATAACCCTGACGTTTACCATTCTTGTTATTTTTGTAAAGCCTTGAAATAGCAATTTCACGTGTGAAGGAGCAAGAAACTTTATCTCGGAAGCCCTCTCAAAATTTGAAGGCATGCGTTTAATTGCCTTGTATGACAAATGTTATAAGAATTTGAGTTTTTTGTGTATTGTTTCACCTTTAACATATAGAAAACTATTGCAGAACCTTGCGAAGGATGAATATGAGAGCAACTTTGTTTCAGCAGTAGTACCTCCCGGTGAAATTGGTGTTAGGTTTGATGATATAGGTGCTCTGGAGGATGTGAAAAGAGCACTGAATGAACTTGTCATTCTTCCAATGAGGAGACCGGAGCTTTTCTCTCATGGAAACTTGTTGCGGGTATTTATTTTAATCTTGTCCATAGTTTCTTCTATGCTTAAGTAAGTGTCTGATCATGTGAAACTTCCTTGTCAGCCCTGCAAAGGAATATTGCTTTTTGGGCCTCCTGGAACCGGGAAGACCCTTCTTGCCAAGGCACTTGCAACAGAAGCTGGGGCGAACTTTATCAGTATAACTGGTTCTACTCTAACATCAAAGGTATGCCTTCCAGTAACTAAAATCTACCACTGGTTCGTTTAATTCCATGAACTAAGTACCAAGCTTAATTGTTTTTTGCTTGAAAATAAATATTCCTTGTCAAGATTAATTATATGTGAAACGTTTTCTCTGTATGACTGTTACTTTCGCTGTTACACGCTTATCTGATGCAAAAGCTAGCGAACCTCATCTATTTTTAAGGCATTTTCTTCATAGTGTATCTTGTATGCACTTGTCCACAACTAAGTTGCACTCTTTATGTTTCTTCAGCCCCGCCCCACCTAAAAAAACACCCCAAAGCAAACAGTATAATTCATGGATTACGTCCTCTAGATTACTTTTGTGTTTCAATGTTTTAAATCTGGATTAAAGTTATCCTTCTTAATCTGGGAGATCCAGTATGCACAATAATGTGCTTGTGAGACTCAGTGTATACTTTTCAGGAGGTGTCTTATTGGCTAATGTTTGGGATTATAAGGTGTTAGTACTTTTAATTTTCATTATGCACAAGATTAGATTCTACTTCTTTGTACTTGATATATTTGAATTTGAATATCAATTTTGAGAGAGAGAATTGAGTTTGGCTTTGTTCTTGAAATCCTAGACAAATGAGGAGCTTTATGTTGATTTTTATCTGGGAGATATTTATGTCTTTGTAACTTTTATTAATTTAATACAGTGGTTTGGAGATGCTGAAAAGCTGACCAAGGCTCTCTTCTCCTTTGCCAGCAAGCTTGCTCCTGTCATAATATTTGTTGATGAGGTGAGTTTTTCTTTTCGAGAAAAAAAATGATGTGCAACAAACTAGTCCCTTTTGTATACTGAAACCTCCTAATATATATTTGAGAAATTTTATGGAGATAGAAAGCATTATATACTGTAGAAAAAGAGTGTTGTTATGGGTACGACCCTGGATTTATGATTATCTTGTTATAAATTTATGTTGTAGGTTGATAGTTTGCTTGGTGCTCGTGGTGGTTCTTTTGAACATGAGGCAACTAGAAGAATGAGAAATGAATTCATGGCAGCTTGGGATGGATTGAGGTCTAAAGACAGTCAAAGAATTCTTATTCTTGGGGCTACAAATCGGCCATTTGACCTTGATGATGCTGTCATTCGTCGCTTACCAAGAAGGTGTGTTGATTTATAAGAATGCTATCCAGATTGGTTATGGTGGTTTTATCAATTGTTTGTCCAATTTTTTAGGTAGTAGGTACTGCTCATATTGACAGAAAAAAAACTCAAGCTTAAACATTTTTACCAAGTTATGTTGGGTTGCTTTGTAGGATATATGTTGACTTACCTGATGCTGAAAATCGTATGAAGATTTTGAGAATATTTCTAGCTCAAGAGAATCTAGAACCTGGTTTCCAGTTCGGGAAACTTTCACATGCAACTGAGGGATACTCTGGCAGCGATTTGAAGGTATTATATTGATGGTAAATCATGGAATTCCATTGTGGTATATCTCACACATAAAGTATTGTTTTTCAGAACCTTTGCATTGCTGCTGCGTATAGACCTGTCCAGGAACTTTTAGAAGATGAAAAAAAGGTACATGCCTTTAGAGATTATCATAAAATATCTGTTTGGGGGCATGTAGCCCAAGATGTTCTTACTAATATGGTAGAAGTAAACATCTAATATGAATTTTTGTGGTTTATAATGTCAATTTCTGGTTGGTTCCATTCGAGTGTTTGAGATGTTCTCTCTTTTTTTTGGATGCTTATATGATCTAACTTATCTAACAAGTTTTAGCTGTTATTTTCGGAGTTTTCAACCTTGTGCTGCACACCTTCATCTCTATGTGCTATGTGAAAAAATGTTTACTGATTTCACTTTCCCTACTTGGTGGTGTTTGGTCACTCATCGTACAGGAAAGCAGAAGTGATGTATCCCCAGTGTTAAGGCCGCTTAATTTAGATGATTTTATTCAATCAAAAGCGAAGGTAAAGAACTTAAGTTATATAATTTTGTTATTCCTTTCTGTTTAGTACTTACTATCCTGTGACATAATGGTCGCAAAGAGTTTGTTTAAGCAACAAGTTTGTCATATTACCGTGGGAAAAATATACCTTGCCTCAAGGATGGACACAAGTACTCTTTATCTTCCCCATGGATGTGGACACTTTTCTCGACATACCACTTCCATTTGTGTTTTTGTTTTTGAATATATTTATCTCTGTTAATTACAAGCACTTATTATTACTGATATGGCGGTTGTTTATTTGTAATTTGATTATGTAGGTTGGGCCATCAATTTCCTATGATGCTTCAAGCATGAATGAACTTAGGAAATGGAATGAACAATACGGAGAAGGCGGAAGCAGAAGAAAATCACCATTTGGTTTTTGAAACTGATCTTACAAAAGTTATTTTTCCTTATATATTCTTAGAGAGAGAAAGGCCTACCTTGCAGGCTTCTCTCTTTATCCATTCGTGGAGGAAGAAGAAAAAAAGCCCCCAACTGCGGAAGCTTTTCGTTCTTTATGCATTCTTGGAGGAAAACGAAAGATGATAAAATCCCAACTTTGGAGGCTTAGTTAACATCAGGAAGAAAGCCCTCTTTTTTCATCCTTTTTGAGCGGATGAGAGAGAAGGCCTCGACAAATATTGTACTATCTTGTAGTTTCATAGAAATTTTTTATTTTTTCTCAATTTTCCTTTCCCTGTAAAATAACACCATTACCAGAACTATTGTTTTAGTAACACTTTTAGTTATGTCAACGAATATAGTATTGCCTTGACCACCCGAGTGTTTTCTTTTGGGTATTTTAGAGACATATATAAAGCAAGGACCACTAGTGTAGTTTTCTTAGAGTAATTGTTCCTCTAGGCAAGGTTCTAGGTTTGAGTCCTAACATCCATGTTGTGTGTTTGAGTTTAATATATTATCGCTGCTGCTCTTAAAAAAACATAGAGAAAGAGCCGGAGCGGAAGTTTCTAAACTATAGATCTTTCGTATTCCAAAAATTGATGGGGCAGGGGTTGGTGGGCATCTAACTTTTATCATATTGACTGTGTCTTCTTGGTCGTTCTATCCAATGGTCCCAACTAGGCATGGCGAAATATTATGTAGGCCTGAAAGTCGGCTGATCGTGCAAATCTAACTTAGACTGGTAAGTAGAAAATTGTGCGAAAAGCAAAGGACACTGCTTTTATTTAACCTTCCTTTGCTTTGGTCATACTAAGGAGTTTAGGCAATCTCTAGCCTTAGGCCATAAGACCCATTTGCCACGGTTAAGGGTAAGGGGGGCTAGGGCCAATACTATTCATGTGAATAGTGACTATCCTTGCAAAAAACAATGCATGTTTCCACCCGTTGCAATGGCAAAGGGCAAATACTATTCATTTTTTAAACCTAAACAATTAAAAAAATTCTAAATTTTTTCACATTTTTTTTTTGCCCAAAAAAAGCCCAGTCGTTGGATTTGAAAAAAAAAAAACCATCGAAGCACCAAAACGCGCCACGTGGCGAGTTACGTTGGTGTTGACGTCAGCGCGCAGTATTTCAATTTTTTTAACGTTGGTGCACACATGTTGCTGACGTCACCCCCCCTCGGGCTGGATCTCAGGCTGCTTCCCCTGTGGGCTGGCCCAGTCTCTTGGGACCCGCGCCTTGCCCAGGCTGTCTTGGTCCGCTGGAACGACCTGCCTGGGATAAAAACCCTGTCCTGCCCAAGCTTGGGTTTGTTGCTGGAGTTGCTCTAAGCTAAATATAGCCATAAAATAATGTAAAACTCATTTCCAGTCATGGGCTAAATAAAAAATTGCCAAATTTGGAGTGCTACATTTAGCCATTTAGCACCAGGCTACTTGTAGCCAGTTATAGCTCATGCCAAATTTTTTTGTGGGCCTAGCGTATGTACTTTCCAAGAAGTGAAAGTATCACGCGTGGGCATGAGCACGAAACATATCGTATGTACTTTCCAATAAGATAAAATATCATGTGTGGGTGTCAGCTAGCCATTAGTTTTTTTTTCTTTTAACCTTTTTAAATATATGTAAATTTGTTTTGTTTTTAAAAGAATATATAACTGTCATAACCATTTGAAATGTTACCTTTTTTTTTTTGTTGCTCTTTTTACATTTTTAATGTATATAAAATTCCTTTTTTAAAAAAATTATAAACAATTGGTTCTGACCGTTGGGAGGTCAGAACCTTTTGAAATGCATGTATTTTTATTTTTATTTTCAAAATTGCCTTTGTTGGCTTTATTATCATTATTTTAAAAAAAAAAATAAAAAAAATCTAAAATATGCCTACAAATATCTCAAAATTTCTTCACAAATTTTCCCACTCATTTCATTTCACATTTCTTATAAATTTATTCTCTTTACTTATTTTGTTATTCACATTGTTTAAGAAATATCCCAGACTTCGAAGGGACGAAATTGGTCATGAGTGGAAGATGAACTTCTTTGCAAGGCTTTCATAAAAGTCTCTGAAGATAGCGTAGTGGAATATTGTCTCTAAATAGTAGTTTAATTAAACAAAACATAGTAGCGTCTGACCCTAAAAAAAATACATAGTAGTGGAATGTATGAGTGTTGTTCTATAGTTTTTTTTTTCAAAATAATAAAAAATGAAAGGCCCCAAAATATAGCCTTGCATGGTTGGAGATAGAAAAATTTAACCATACACTATTCTTTAAAAAATTAATATTTTGGAGGGCTAAATTTATAGCTTTGGACTACATTCCGTCTAAATATTACTCCCTCCCGCCCGCGTTCAATGCCGTCCCATTGACCAGTTAAATGAGCTTGCGTGTCAGGAAAAGTGGGCCAATTCATACCCGTGGTGGTGCTGATGTGGCAAGGGGCGAGTGTTGTCTCAAAGAGGGGAACTAAAAGTGGTCATTTGTCGATGGGGTTCAAAATAGCTTTGGATTTTGGGATTTTGGGAAAGGAAAATGGTGCGATGACAAGAGATTGTACTTTCATTTTGTCAGGTGAAGACATCGTGGACTGAAGCTAACCCAGGAAGGAGGTTTCAATTCTGTCGAAATGTAAGGAATTGACATATTTGTTGGTTTTTAAGTTTGAATATGTGTGTTTTTCCGATGTTTATATATGGGTTAATTGATATAGGGGAGGAACAATGAATGTGAGCATTTTGAGTGGTACGATCCTGAGATGTGCCCCCATTCTAAGGCCATCATACCACGGTTGTTGAGGAATCATATAAGATTGGAAGAAGAAGTGGTTGTTCGTCATGCAAAGTAGAAGAAATTGTGGGCAGTTTTGGTTGTTAGTTGGTTTCTGGTTTTTGCTTGAGTTTTGTGGTAGATCTCATGTGTTTCAGTGAAAGGAATGTAAATGAAACATTGGAAGCACATGTGTTTTGTGGTAGATCTCATTTGTAGTTTTAGTTGTTAAATAAATGGAAATGAAACATTGGAAGCACTTTGGTAAATTACAACCTTGCATAGCAGTATGATCATTTTTTTCATAAGCAACTTAATACATCACAAGCACTAAACTTAACACTTAACAAGCAGTAAAAGGAAATTACAACCTTGTATTGATAAATCTCCAAATTACAAGCAATTTGGCAAATTTTCAGCAATTTGGCAAATTTTCCCTAAACAACTTACATTCTAAGCACAAAATATTTGTCATTTCTCTCACTTTCCAATCTCTCCCACACCCTTCACACCTTGAAGACCCCACCCTCCCTTATTCATCGTCCGTGCAATTTCTCACCACACCCACCCCTACCCCCGATCTTTATGTCTTGGTTCTAGCCCCACCCTCCTTGCAATATATGTTTCTTCTGAAAAAGAAAAAAGAAAAAATATAATCATCCACTTCATTTTATGTGCAAAGAGGTTTGTAAAAACATGTATTGTAAAATTAAAATTATAAAAAAAAAAAAATTGAACTTGGTTACATGGGTGGGATGGAGTTAGGTGGGGTGGAAAAGATGGAGGTGGTTGAGGGGTTTTCGCCGGCGGAGGAGGAGTCGGGGTTGGGGTGCAAAAATTAAATTGGTGCTGGGGAAGGAATGGGGGGTTGCAGGTGGGAGAATGAGAGTTGGTTGTGGGTGTTAACAGTTTGTTTTCGCCAAAAGATGAGGAACATGACGGGTTGGGGATGGGGGTGATTTAAGAATTATTTTAAACAATAAAAGAAAATACAAAGTCAACACATGAAAGGACTATAATGCCCTCAACAAACGAAACACATGGCCCCACATCACTATTTAAACAGAAATATGGATGAAATCTCAAGAAATCTCAAGAAATCTAACGATAAGTCCCACATTGGCTATTTTAAAGGAGTAGAATGACTAAATTGGCAAACGAAATAATTCTGAGGGTAAGTTTGAATTGCCTAATAGTTCAAGGGGTAAAACGGCTAAAAATCCTTTTAAAAATATTGACATACTTGTATAATATGCGAAATTGCCAACTAGTCCAAAATAAGGAGCTTGGTGCCCGTTTGACATTGCTTATTTGGGGTGATAAGTGATTTTTTAAAAATTTTGAGAAGTCCAGCCCGTTTGGTAAACTGTGAGAAAATCACTTATTGTTAAAAATTGCTGTGAGAAAAAGCTATAAGGGAAAGCAGCTAATGAGGTGCTTTCATTTTCTGATTATGTAGGAATCAGTTTTGAAGAGGCGCTGGGTTTAATGATTATGCCACAATCATTTTCTGATTATGAGGAAATCAATACCAACAACGCTTTTAACAAAAAATTTACCAAACACCAAACTGCTTTCCCTCATAGTTGATTTATCTCACAGTAAATCTGACAGCGATTATTTTCACAGCACAGCAATGCCAAACTGGCCCTGAATGAGGGTTTTTTAAAATGTCAAAAATACACCTTGCATGTTGATTTTATTTTTTTTAAAATGGAAAATTGGATGGTGTTAGTGTCATATGACATTTCATGGATTTTGAAAAATTAATGTGACGTTTCTCTTAAAATTTTCTTTGAGGTGACAAATTGAAATTGGTGTGCTCAAGTGACATTTATAAAATATTTCTTTTATTTTTTCACTTAAAAATAAACTAAGCAACTTGAATCAGTCTTTAAATGAGATCATAATCATTTTCAAATGTTTATAAGTTTAGTAATCATAATTTGTAGTAAAGAAATACTCATGTTAATAAAAACTTTTTTTTTTCTGGACTTAATAAAAGCTAAACCTATACGGGGCTATTTGTTACACATGGTTGGCTCATACTAGCTTGGACTAAATTTAGTCCCATGTTTGTTTCATCTAATCCTAGTATTAAATGGGATTGCTACTAGGCCCACCAAAAACACCTCTTTATGAGGATACTAATAAACCCATATGGAATGGATGATTACCTCGTCTCATGCCCACTAATATATAAGATGTATATATTATATTGTAATAATAATAACATATATATGTATTATATATATGGAATGGATGATTACCTCGTCTCATGCTCACTAATGTATAAGATGCATATATTATATTGTAATAATAATAACATATATATATATACATACTTAGAAAAAAAAAATCTAGTTATAGTCCAAGCATACACCACCAAATGCAGGATAAGTGTTATTCAACCTAGACCAAGCCAAGCCAAGCCAAATCAAGAGAGTCCCTAAGTATAATCCATGTTAAGACGAATGAGGCCTACAAGTATAATATGGTATTTGATAAAGAGTGCTTGTGACAAATGAAGCCAAACAAAATGAGAGCTCACCACCACCACTAAACCTGCAGGACAGGACCCACAAATTATATTTTAAAAGCAATTACCCTTCATTTGGATGAAAGAATTGAAAATTACATAGAATTCTAAAAATGATGGAATTTAGATTTCCATAATTTAATTTATGGCAATTGAAGATTTCAGTGTTTGGAATTATGTATGTTGAATTTTGTAAATGGCAGTATGAAAATTGTGAAATGACGCCTGTTTTGGTGGAAATTAAACTTGGGAATTTGATGCCTCAATTTCCACGATTTCTTACGCGCGTCATTTAATAAATTCCGCGTTTAAGTTGCCAAACAAAAAAATTGTCAATTTCTCATCATAAATTTCCGACTTTTAGCTAAATTCTGGGTTATCTTCCCTCATCCAAACGGATGGTTACAGTTGGGTTGTGGTATTGGAACATTGCGGCTAATAGTCACTCAAATGAAAACCTACTTTACCAATTAATAACTAAGAAAATGACTTACGAACCAAAAAACTAAGAACATGACAACTTAATGCCCTTTTTAGATTGCGGTCACTTTTTACTTATAAGTAATGGACTAGGATGTGTATTATAATTATTTATATTTATGACTTCTCATACATTTGGAATTATTTCAATTTTTAATACCTTTAGTGACACATATATAATCAAAAAGTAGATTAATTGAAAACAATGTTACAATAGAGTTTGATGTTAAATATTATTATAATATATTTTTTACCATTATTCTCCTATTATTATTCCTTTCCAAATTTTTTTTCATTATGGGGTTTTTTATTTTTATTTTTTTAGTACAAACGATAGTCTAAACTACATGGAGAAAAGATTTCTCTCACACACACACAATTATGATGTCATGGGGGGTTAGAACTTGAGACCTCTGATATGCAAGTCAATATCCTTTTTCTATTGGACTAGATCTCATTGGCCCCATTTATTTATAAAATAAAATAAATAATATTTGACCTTTAGATGAAGTTAAATTTTTTACAGAGTACGAAATTATGACTTAAATTATCAATGTTACTGATTCTATAATCTCACGAATAAACGGTGCAGATTCAATTTCGTCAAAAAAAAAAAAAAAAAAAA